AACTATTCCATGTTCTGTGTTTGCCTTTGTTCTTGTGAGTCAAGCAGTGCATTGTGGATGTCACCCCTCCACTAACTGCCACCCAGTAGATGAAAGWCTTTACTGTGCCAAGTAACAGTGATTTCATGTTCTCTTTGTTGTTGCTAATCCCTACTCTGTATATGTGAAGTACTGTTCAGGGATCCCAGATGATCATTGTCTTTCCTGAAGGAAGACAGAAAAGGGAGAAAACTCTGCATATGCAGAATCTTTCAGTCCAGAAGCAAGTCAGTAATATACAAACACTGAAGAAGTATTACCTGAATAAGTATCATTGAGAAAAGTGAAGGAACACAGGCAAAAGGGCCTGAATGATGAAGCCCAGAAGATGATCTGTTCAGTGCTTTCTGCATCTTCCTAGCTGGAACCAGGATTTTTTTTTTTACCCATTCTAGGAACAGCCTGATGGAAACTCATTTTAAAAAGCAAAGCCACAGGGTGGACACCATGAACACCTGTGTCAAAAAAAAAAAACCAAACCAAAACCATCAGCTCATGAGGAGATTTCCCATATGAACTGAGAAGTGCATGATAGAATAGATGGTAAGTGAGGTAGGACTAGCATTATAAACCCACTGTGGGTGAGAGTTCCTACAGCAGTCTACMTAAAGTTGCTGGTGGGGGTTATTCCATCAATACTTGATGTATCCTGCAGCACAAATTATAGGGATTAAGGTGTTTTAACATGTTTTTCCTCAGCATTAAGTGACCTGCCAGCTTACCAGACAGTCCTGTGTGCACATCTCACTGTTTGACCTCTTGTTCRTGTCCCTCAAAGCTCAGCTGTGATGTCAGTCACTGCCAGCTGCTTCCTGCTCTCTGTCTGCTCTGCCCAACCTTATCATCTCTCGAGATAGCAGAATCCCGAAGTCATGAAATACAAATCAAATACCATTTTTCTAATTGAGTGGGATGAGGGGATGCTATTCCAAAGTCATACGTCCCCTGATACCATGATTTGTATCACTGGTGCTCTTGCAATCCCATGGCCAGTTCTGTCAGCCAGTACAATCTGAAGTGTGTGCACACTGCCCATTCAAGCTCTTTGTCACAGTGTTTAAAACACACAGCACAGCTGTCACTGTTTGCTGGAAATTGCTGAAAGTGGTGCTGAGGAAGTGAATGGATTACAGAGGAGGAATTATAGGAGCTTATTCATTTATTTTTCTCTTGTCTGTTTTTCTTTTTTTGTTTGTTTTGTGGTTTCTGATGAGCATAACCTGTCTACCCAGGACTCTGAGCTATGAATTCAGGTGAAGCTGGAAGTGGATTAGTACCTGGATTATCATGGAAAGCACCACAAAGCCATCATGYATAACTGATGCAGACACGTGATTTCCAAAGAGTCATGATTTCCAAAGAGTTAACAGTTTCCAGCTGTTCGTCCAGTTTTAGAAAAATGGAAAGGATGTAACATTTCATGGCGACATGGCTGTAGGGACTGGCTGTTACCAGCTAACACATTTTGCAAGCATTAGCACCCAGTACGGACAAAATTATATGTCACTTAGAATTGCATTGATCAAAATGCRTGAACTAGCAAGTCCTAAAAAAGGAAAACTGAAATACAAACCCTCTTAGCACTTGTCCCAGTTTTCCTAGAAGAGAATATTCCGTTTCATACTGAGGAAAATTATTCTTTCTTGATGAGCTATAATTATTGAATATTAAAAAAAATAAATATCAGAGCTTCTGTAAAGAGAAAAAAGCTTTTACTTTGGGAACAGATACTGCCAAAATAATGCCATTTTGTGTGTGTAGGCTGCATTTTGCTTAAGTAAGCTGGTCACATGCTGTCTTTTCTCTCCTTCCACAGCCTATACATGCCATGAGCAAAGCAAGGATGTGCAATTTCAATCAGACTTTTATTTACTGTTGAATGCRAACATATAGTAAATKGAAAAAGAAAGTAAARATGTGATCAATACTATTACAAACAAAAGGAATAACAGGTTYAGAATTTCATTAGGAAGAAGTTAAGCAGAAATCAGTTTTACTTGGTGTTACAAAGGCATTAATTACAGTTCCTTGGATACTAATAATATAAGAGTTTGTAAACAAAAATCCAATTTAAAAAAYGTTCAGCACCAATAAGTTGGTAACTGAAGAGTGAAGAAGCATTGTGCAATTTATAGGCATCGCTTTTCTCTTAGGGCAAGTCCAGGCAATTAATAAACAAGATGTTACTCATTCTATATATACATATATTATTCTGTTACCGTTTTTTAAGGATTTTTTACTGGCAATGTGTAAAGAATCCTCCCCTGTGATTTAAATTATATATGTTATTACTTCCTGTCTACCTGTAGGTCTTGGTATAATACTTCAGGATCCCAACGATGAGAACTCATTCTTGTTGATATAGAGCACCATGACAAAAATTCTGAGGTTTTTATAGGTTAATGTATTTGCCCAGTGGCTGGTGATTTCTCTGGCCCTTTATCAGGTGCTCTTCTTCCTAGAAAGCCTCTGGCATCAAAGGATGGATCAGATGTGTTGCTTTGACAGCATGACAGTATGTCCTGCTTGTGGCCATTTTATTTTCCAAGAACTTTGTGGTTCCTCCTCATCTTTTGATGGGGTAAAAGAAGGGCTTTGGAAAARCTCTTCAAAGAAAAGTTGTCAACCAGGACTGAGTCTGCCACTGCTGGAACAATTCATTCTGCTCCTAGTCCAGATGCTCATTAATTGCTGCAGTTGTTGCAACCTGCTGCCAGCTTCGTCCTTCCCAAGAGTTCCTCAGGCACTGTGCACAGACAGGATGTCTGCATGTGTCTGTGTGTCTTTGTTTGCTGCAGTTGATTTGTGGGTGTGTAGCAGACCCAACGCTTTCCCAGGAGTCTTGACTGTGGATGTGCAGTGCTGTCACACTAGGTATGGACAGGATCCAGAGGTGGAGTTGCAAAATGTGCTTTACTTCCAGCCTCTCAAAACAAATAGTCAGCAGGAAGGCCGCGGTGCTCCTGGTGCAGGGTTTAATTTTTATTTTCATTGAAACAGAAAACATGCCAAAACAATGAAGAGATTCTAAAGAAAGGGAGCACAAAAACTTTCAGTATTAATTAAGCACTCGGAAGATGGAATGAGACAACTTGCTAGTCATACACGAGCAACTCATGCCCTGCTGCTGAAAAATTTGTTTTCCTTAACGTATTTCTAGAACTGTAGAATGGCTGGGATTGGAAGAGACTTTAAAGACCAGGTCTCTAGGAAGACAGCTCCAGTGCTAGATCATCCTCCTGGTATAGATCCCCACTGGTGGGGAACTTATCTGACAAGATCAAAAAGTAAAAATGTTGATAAATCCTGCATACTCTGGGAGAACCTTCCCATTGAATCAGCAGAGGTAATGTGGTATTTCTGATGCTGTAATAATATCTGCACAGACCATATCTGAGGCTTCAGAGAGCCCTGCTTATAAGAACATAATCACAGAAATTCCGCCCACAGAAAATTCTTCTAAAGCGTTTTAGTGTTGAACTGTTGTCATTAAGATTTGGGAGTCATCAATACTGACATTTATGCCTGCTTGTGCTGGAGAGTTGYTAAACTCAGGAACATAATGTCCAGTGAAACGTCACATTAAGTAATGGTTTATCTGTGTCACTATTTATTTTAAAGTAGAGCACAACAGTAATAAAAAAGACTTTTCTCTGTTGTCCAGAATAAGTTGTATAAAATATGAATGCTCATATTCATCCTTCTTCTGCTAAGTTACAGTATTATTTTATATTGCATCATAGTTGATCATTATATTAGCCACTATGTGAGCAAAGAATTGTACATGCCATTTATKTTATTTTCATAATGCATTGGGTGTGATTAGCACTATTTTCCTTAGGATAAAGAAGGATAAGGTAATAACCAAGGTAAAAGAGCWTTTTTAAAGTGATTTTAGACAGAAKCTCGCAGTACAGCAATTTTCTAAAAATCCAAAACATAACAAAAACTTCCAATTACTTAGATTTATTAGTTTTTATAAGGCACTGAGTAATCTATTCACTACTGTCTCATTCATCAAGTGAGTTCTTCAGGRAAAGACATCCTGTCAGGTGCTGCAGACAAAGCTCTGAGGAGCATCAAGACCTCAGTGATGTACCTCAGATAATGACTGCAAAGATTGCAAAGTGATGCATTTCTATCTAGCAGGCATTGATCATAATTATATCACTGATAAAGGCAAAGCATATCAAATGTTGTGTTTTAAATATGCCCTTCAATTAGAATAATGGAAATAATTTCAGCGGTGGCCGTGTGATCTTTCTGAATGCAAAATAGAGATGTTTTGCATATATTCAGGATGAAAGGAGTTATCACTCTTTTCACTTATTAATTTTCATTTTATACTCATGGTATATCAGACATTATAGATCATTCACCATTTTGCTTTATGACAGAGCAGAACTCTGATAACTGTGCTCTGTCTAAAATTTAATTCCCTCATTTACCTGCTGCATGGACTGAACTGCAGAATCTTAATTTGCTGTCATGGTTTCCATGATTCTTTTCTTGTGTCATATTGTTGATRCAATGAACACATTGCACGTACAGCATAGCCTTCATCTTCTTAAGGCASAGCACAGACCCTTTCATCCTTGCAGAATGAATAATTAAAGTAGGATTTTAATATTTGTGCTTGCTTTTGGGTTTATTAGCTCTGACTGTGAAAACTAAATCGATTATTTTGTATGCTCCATCTGACTAACTCTTGAAAAAATGGACCAGAGTTTTCCATATATCTGTTCTGGCTTTAAGCTATTTTAAAATAGAACTGTTGTAGAAATTATCTCTCTCAATTSAATAGGTGACTTTCTTGTTATTGCAAATTTCAGGTTTGCGTAAGGACCACAAGTGTAAAGCAAAATTAGTGAAGATGTTCATCACTGCTAAGGTCCTAAGGTGGTAATTTAATTCTTCTGCTGTACCTGCCTCACTTGAATTTTGTGTTTTTGTTTCTGCAGACTCCAGAGGAAGGAGCCTCTACAACCATCTATGCAGCAGTATCACCCGAGATGGAAGGAGCTGGTGGCTGCTACCTTTACAATGAGGAAAGGACAAAATCGGCTGACGTAGCATATGATGAGGAGCTGCAGAGAAGGCTCTGGACAGAAAGCTGCAAGATGGTTGGGATTTCTGACGAAGCCAGCAGGCTTCCCTAGAAGAAGCCACTTTCAGCTGGGTAAATGAAATACATTGAAAAGCATCTTAGGTGAATGCTTGCAGCATCAGTCATCRTCCTGGAAATCACTGTTCAGTCCCAAAGGCAAAAGTGAACAGCTCTGTTTTTCACTTGATTCCCTAATCTGCTAGGGTGTGGGGGGAACATTCCCACAGAAAGGTGTAGTGGTTGGTTTTAAATCTAACCATCAGTTTTGTAAATCATGATGTTTCAGTCTGTGATTAAAATACAATCTTTAAACATGTGCAGAGTTGAGTTTTCATTGTTTTGTTCAACAAAAATAATGCTTGAGCATCTTGTGTGTGAGAGGTTTTGAACTTAAACTGCTTTGTACATATTAGCTGCTCTTTTAAATCAGTTTTAAAAGTTGCAGCTTTATTTTCTTAAGCTTCATTAATCTTTAAGACACTTTCATCAGTTAGCTCTAATGCAGAAATTCGGCATTCATGATCATGATATTTCTGTGTTAAGGTTAGTTTTATATGTCAACTTGTATCCAGAGGTATTATCTGAAGGTCAGAACAATAAAAAAAAGTAAATAAATAAGGCCTTCTTCAAACAGGATATTGAATTCACTTGTTTCCAGTTTAAGTTCATCTCTCCTATGCAGGGAAGGAAGGGATCAAACATCAGAATGGCAACACTGTTGTATGGAGACCTTCCTCTTTTTGTTGGTTTTGATCCCAGTTCATATCAGTTTCAGAACTAAAGCTCATGGTTTGGAAGAGATAGCAATTCATGCCAGCCCGCTTTCTCCTTTTTTTTTTTGTACATGTACAATGTGTCCTCTCTAAACTGTGTCTTTGCCACTTTTAAGAGTAGCCCCTGCATACTCATCCAATAGGAGCAAGAGGGTATTTTCCCTTTTGTTGTCTATGTCTTTCCTAAAATTTCCTAACAGCTGGTTTATTTTTAATTTTATTTGATTGACTCTGAGTGTGGAGCAGATTTTTTTATTAAGCTATTTTCAGTGAACCCTAAGATTTYTCTTCTCAGTGGGATAGCAGCCAGTTCAGATGTTATCAGTTTTGAACACACTTCAGTTGTGTACAGTTCAGGAAATTCGAGCAATGTCTACCAAAGTGATTCTTTAAGAATGGTTCATATTCATAAAGAAA